ACACAAGCAAGAAAATAAAAGAGGACACCAAGAATTTAATGTGATTCGGCAATATGCCTACATCCACGGGGAGTAGTATATATATAATTATATATATGTCATATATACAAAACCAATTCAATGAAATTATAATTGAAGAAGTCAAACACTCCATCATGCACTTACCAAGCAATTTGAGTGTACAAGAGCCACCAATACTATCAGATGGTTTCATAAATTCGAAACCATGAACCGGTTTCAGAAATTCGAAACCATGAACCGGACTGGAAGCAGTCTTTTTTTTTGGGGGCTGAACCGGAAGCAATCTTTGGGAGTATATATTGAAATAATTTGGTGTCTGGTAAAGGAATCATACTTTTATCTCTAATTTGTCTAAAGCAATTGAAAGGTTGAAAATGGTTTTTAGTGTGTCCTCAAGGGGGCAGTTTTCTAATTTGTCAAATTCTGATGCATCAGAATGATCCTCACCAAGGCCATCTTTGGCAAAAGACAGAATCTGGCCAACTTGGAACTTTTATTGAAAACAAAAGACATTAAAAACTGCCACTTTCTTCGAAGATATATATTATTGTTCCAATTTTGACAACTCATATAGTGCTTCTTATCAACAAACTTCAAGCATCCTTTAAACTATTAATTGGATTGGATCACAAAATTTGGTCAACCAAGGTTTATATTTGGATTATTGAACTCATTGATGATTTTCTATATATTTATGTCCCTTCTCCGAATCCTTAAACATTATTATTTTGATTTGAAGTCATGGAATTTGCATGTTGCCTCACGAGCTGAGCACTCACACCAGCTGCCATGGCCTTTGTTGGGGAAACACCGGTTTCCCCCGTCACAGCATATAACCCGATGGAAGGAATAAACAAACAACCAACAAGCCCAAGATGACAATGAGTAAATACATAAGAGAACACACTAAGAATTTATGAGGTTCAGCAAAACCTGCCTACATATTGAGTTAAATCAACATAACTCAATATAACAGTCGAGAGTTTTATACCCCAACCCGAGTCCCTTGTACACCCACTCAAAGTATTTCCCAAAACTCACTGTCATTCCCCAAGAGATATATCCTCCCTTGAACCTTTGATGAACCCAGCTAACTCCCAGCTGAAACATCCTCCAGGAGTTCATGGGACTGCTTGCTTGCATCTCACAAGCAACCCACTCTCCCTCTCTGCCGTGCTCTCTCTTGAACACCATGCTTTCTCACCACAACTCTCTTGTATGTAAACAACACACACACCGCATGAGTTGTTGCTCCCCACTTGATACCCAAGTGAACCCGAGAGAAACCCCTCTTGATTTTGCTGGAGTTCGCGGGACTGCTTGCTTGCATCTCACAAGTAATCCACTCCCACTTACATTGCCGTAAGCCTCAACTCTCAATTTGGTTTGGACCCACAAGCACACACCGCTTGCATGCTCCACACCTGGCTCTTTGGTGCGACACAGGCACACACCCACTGCTGTATATTAAGAGGAATGCTAGTAACTTTCTCTTTTAAACTTTCTCTATTTTCTTCATTACATGTATCACTTTCCTTACACTAAAAACAATGTCATTAACGCATCTCACAAACTAATTTTTGTTTTCTAAATCGTATCCTTATTAAATGTATTGATTTTTTTTTCATAACTTTATTACCACCTTATTACAAAAATTAAATAAGAAAAACTATCATTTTTATTTTAAAAAGTTTTTTTCTTCAAAGAGAATGGTTTTTTTTTTTCCAAAAAAAATGATGTCACTCCTATGATAACAAATTTATAGTCATTTGACGAAAAAAATATGTTGTAGTTATTGTTTTTCAGGTATTTAAATGTTAAGATAAGCACCCAAAAAAAAAATGCATAATGGTAAAAGATGAATATCAATAATACCAATATCCATTGAAAATAAAAAATAAGATTTTAAACAAAGGCATAGAAATTTTCATATAGTTAAGTAAAAAACATTTGTTTATAAAACTAGTAGTTATATATATATATATATATATATAAAATAAACTGGTTTATTAAGAACGTCTGCTTTTTCTAGAAGAAAAAAAAAATAACCTTTAGAGTATAAAGGTGGTAAGAAAAGGTGACCTTTTTTTTTTAGGAGCTTCACTAAAACACCAAAAATGGGGGCTGAAATTATAAAAAAACTCAGGTTCGGCCGGTTTTGAGATCACGGTTTCAGCCACTTCCGGCCACTTTTTGGGGTAGGTCCAAGAACAAAAGTGGTTCCAAATAGAGTGTTTTACCTAGAATAGGAGTCTTGAGCCGAGTTGTCGAGTTTCTCCGGCGAGGCTTTATCGCTTTAGGCACCACGCGCTGCGGGGGGGGGGGGTGGGCAATAAGGTGGGGACCACAGTCAGTCCTAGAATGATCTCCTAGTCCTCACAAGCGCGTAGGATTTCGCGGAACTTAATTCGGATATCGTTTGAACCCCGAACGGATCTCGCCTAGTATGCGATTTCCGGGTTCAACACGTTTGAACCATTGGATCATAGTTAATTCCAAGTATGTTAATCTAGGTATTTCCAGGATCGTATAGTATTTGACGGATCGTAAAACGGAGTCCCGGATACTCCAGAAATGTCAGCCCAAGAGTAGGTTTTACGGTTAAGTAAACCAGTTACAAAATAACGAACTAGTTGCAGGTCAAGAACAGAGGAGAGAACTACGTGTGGCTTGATCCCTTAGTAAGGGTACGTAGGCAGCCTACAGCTATCAGGCGCAGCCACGAGTTAGGGCCCCAGAGTTTGTGTTAGCGTTTTCAGGTCATTTTGGGTCATTTATGACCCACAGTCACCAGGTGTCAGTTTTAAACAGGTTTCGACCCGGACTCCAAAGTGGAATTGGATCAGGTCATTTCAGATAAATTGTGGTGGCAATGCTATTCGTACTCTCAGTTTGTCGTACTGCACTTTTCCACTTAGCGTTTTAAAATACAGAGTGGGAATAGCTACTACTTTTATCGTTATTTTGATGTTGAAAGAATTTAGTTCCTTCTGATATTTTATGTTGACTTTCTGGTATTAGTGTGTTTTGTAGACAAAGAAGAAAGGCAGCCACAGGGTGACGATGAGCCGCTTGCACTTGCAGCAGCAGCAGAAACATTAATAGAAACAGAGGGGGCAAACAACAACTGTGGTAGCAGAGGCTGCAAGATTATTGTTATTATTGGTGCTTTCTTCTTTCTCTTCCTTTCTCTAGCGCTCTCTCGCTCTTTTCTCTCTCACTAAAAAAGAAAAAGGACAGCCGACAATGTAATGTATTTCAAAATGGAAAAGCTTCAATTAAAATTTTACCATTGTGAAAGAAAGTCAGAAACCAACTTGCATCAATTGACAAAAAAGACGAAAAGAGTACAGAAAATGCAAATGCAAACATAAAATTTATGCAATACAAAAACTAGATTGGCCCAAGAAAAGGATGAAAGGGCAAGTATAAGTTAGTATTTACGTCAACTTAGGTTCGGACGGGTTCTTTCATTGAAAACCGCTGGATTTTGTTAGGAGAATGAGAACTCATCAAAATTACGTAATCAAGAACACAAGCAAGAAAATAAAAGAGGACACCAAGAATTTAATGTGATTCGGCAATATGCCTACATCCACGGGGAGTAGTATATATATGTCATATATACAAAACCAATTCAATGAAATTATAATTGAAGAAGCCAAACACTCCATCAATGCTATCAGATGGTTTCAGAAATTCGAAACCATGAACCGGTTTCAGAAATTCGAAACCATGAACCGGACTGGAAGCAGTCTTTTTTTTTGGGGGCTGAACCGGAAGCAATCTTTGGGAGTATATATTGAAATAATTTGGTGTCTGGTAAAGGAATCATACTTTTATCTCTAATTTGTCTAAAGCAATTGAAAGGTTGAAAATGGTTTTTAGTGTGTCCTCAAGGGGGCAGTTTTCTAATTTGTCAAATTCTGATGCATCAGAATGATCCTCACCAAGGCCATCTTTGGCAAAAGACAGAATCTGGCCAACTTGGAACTTTTATTGAAAACAAAAGACATTAAAAACTGCCACTTTCTTCGAAGATATATATTATTGTTCCAATTTTGACAACTCATATAGTGCTTCTTATCAACAAACTTCAAGCATCCTTTAAACTATTAATTGGATTGGATCACAAAATTTGGTCAACCAAGGTTTATATTTGGATCACAAAATTTGGATTATTGAACTCATTGATGATTTTCTATATATTTATGTCCTTCTCCGAATCCTTAAACATTATTATTTCAATTTGAAGTCATGGAATTTTGCATGTTGGCCTCATGAGCTGCGCACTCACACCAGCTGCCATGGCCTTTGTTGGGGAAACACCGGTTTCTATATATTACCACCTTATTACAAAAATTAAATAAGAAAAACTATCATTTTTATTTATAAAAAAAAAAATCTTCAAAGAGAATGGTTTTTTTTTTTTCCAAAAAAAAAATTGATGTCACTTCTATGATAACAAATTTATAGTCATTTGACGAAAAAAATATGTTGCAGTTATTGTTTTTCAGGTATTTAAATGTTAAGATAAGCACCCGAAAAAAAAAAAAGCATAATGGTAAAAGATGAATATCAATAATACCAATATCCATTGAAAATAAAAAATAAGATTTTAAAATAGAAAGTGATAGAATATTTTATTAGCAACAACAAATTCATAGAATATTTTACACTAATGTCGGTAGCCACAAATGAGAACTAAAAAGTCTTCAATTTCAACCACTCATTTAATACAACATGACTCCCTCCAAAAAAGTCAAACCAAAACCAAAACGAAAACTTGCTGTCCCAGTTATTTACTACATGGGTCCCACATGAGATTTTACCTATCTCAACAGCCTTTGCATCTTTGCCTCGACTTTTGCTTGACTGAAACAAAGAAAGGGGCGTGCATCTATATACTACTTGCATTTAATTGTTCTTAATCGATGGGAAGATAATATCTTTATTTCCTTCACCTTATCATCTTTGAAGTGTAGGAACCCAAAAGCCTTAATTTTCACTCTCATTTGAGAAACCAGAAAGTAGTGAATGCATTTTTTCAGATTTTCCCAGGCCTGAGGGAAGCTTGTTTTCATCAATGGCCCTTGTTAGAGCTCAAGATGCCTCCTCTTCCGAGAATTTTCCTTGTCGTTACGACGTGTTCTTGAGTTTCAGAGGTGAAGACACTCGCAAAACTTTTACCGACCACCTCTATACTGCCTTCGTCAACTCAGGGATTCACACTTTCCGAGACGACGATGAACTAGAGAGAGGAGAAAATATCAAGCCAGGACTGCAGGAAGCAATCCAAGAATCGCGAAGTTCTGTCATTGTGTTTTCGAAAGACTACGCGTCATCCAAATGGTGCCTTGACGAGCTTGTGTTGATCCTTGAACGCAAGAGGATCTCAGGCCATGTAGTTTTACCTGTCTTCTATGACGTTGATCCATCTGAGGTGAGGAAGCAGACAGGAAGTTTAGAAAAAGCATTTGCTGGACACCAAAAAAATCGATCTTTGAACAAGGACAAGGTAAATGTATGGAAGGCAGCACTTACAGAAGCTGCTAATCTAGGAGGCATGGTCTTACAAAACGAAGCTGATGGGTAAATTCCATTACCACTCTTGATTAACTATAGGATCTATTTCTAGTTATAATGTCAACGTTAATATTATTGAATTCATGGCATATGGCAGGTTGATTTTACTTATTTCCACTTTCATTGCAAATTTTTTAGGCATGAGTCAAAGTTTATCAACAAAATTGTTAAAGTGATTGAAGGCAAGCTAAGACGCAACCCCTTAAGTGTTGCTCCTTACCTGATTGGAATGGATCATCGAGTAAAAGAAATTAATTTATGGTTACAGGATGGATCATCCGATGTTGGAATATTGGTGGTTTATGGGATTGGCGGAATAGGGAAGACCACTATCGCTCAAGTTGTTTATAATTCAAACTTTAAAAGATTTAAAGGAAGCAGTTTCCTTGAAAACATCAGAGAAATTTCTGAAGGGCGCAACGGCTTGGTTCAAATGCAAATACAACTTCTCTCTGATATTTTGAATGGGAGAGAAGTGACAGTACGAAGTGTCAGTGAAGGAATACTTAAGATTAAAGATGTCATAAGTTGTAAGAAGGTTCTTCTTGTTCTCGACGATGTAGATCATTTGAGCCAATTTGATGCAATACTTAGAATGCGAGATTGTTTTTATCCTGGGAGTAAAATCATTGTAACAACTAGATGTGCAGGGTTGTTCAAGGCTGAGGTTGTTAAGGTGCATAACGTTGACACTTTTAATCATGATGAATCATTGGAGCTCTTTAGTTGGCATGCTTTTGGACAGGACCATCCCATTGAAGGTTACACGAAACTTTCGGAAAAGGTTGTAAGCCAGAGCGGAGGACTTCCATTAGCTCTTAAAACTTTGGGTTCTTCACTATCAGGGCAAAGTATAGCTGTATGGGAAAGTGCATTAAAGAAATTGGAAGTTATTCCAAACGGTGACATCATGAATAAGCTCAAAATAAGCTATGACTCTTTACAAGATAACCATGACCAGGACTTATTTCTCCATGTTGCATGTTTCTTCATTGGAAAGGACAAGGATGTCACTGTGAAAATACTGAATGGATGTGATTTCTATACGACTGTCGGCATTCAAAATCTCATTGATATATGTCTGGTAACCATAGATGGAGATAATAAGTTGAGGATGCATCAAATGATTCGTGATATGGGAAGAGAAATTGTTCGCCTTGAATCAAAGGAGCCTGAAAAACGCAGCAGATTATGGTATCGTAAGGATTCTCTCAGTGTATTGAGAGAAAAGAATGTAAGCAACATGCTCCTTTTACGTATACATATGCGCATGCTTTTTCTGTTCTAGAGTGAATTGTTAGTTCATATCTAAATGGTGTATTTTTTTTGTAGGGTTCAAAAAAAATTGGTGGTCTTGCCCTGCATATGTACCATGTAGAAACTCCTTCAGGAAATTCAAATAAGGTAGTCTTGGAAACCAATGCATTTACAAGGATGGTGAAACTAAGATTACTCCAGCTGAGTTATGTACAACTCAATGGAGATTATGAAGAATTTCCTAAAGGATTGAGATGGTTGTATTGGCTTGAGTTCCCCTTAGACTCTATACCCTCTGATTTTCGTTTGGAGAGCCTGGTTGTTCTTGAAATGCACGACAGTAGCTTAAGAAAAATATGGAAGGGAACAAAGGTATACATGCTACTCCACACTTTTCTTTTTGTGTTTTTAGGGAATTTGATCACTGGTTATAGATGTGTAAAAATTCACTCCCTGCCTTCTTGCATTTTTTTCAGTTTCTTCAATCATTAAAGATTCTTGATCTCAGTGGTTCCTGTATCCTCACTGAAACTGGTGACTTCTCATTGGTCCCCAATCTTGAGAGGTTGATTCTTGAAGATTGTGTAAGCTTGGTTGATGTCCATGAGTCCATTGGAAACCTAGAGAAACTTGTGCACCTGAATATGAAAAATTGCAAAAATATTAGGAAGCTTCCAAAGAGAATTTCTATGCTAAAATCACTTGAAACTCTCATTTTATCTGGTTGCTCCAGTCTTAATGAGTTCCCAATGGAGATGGGGGAAATGGAATCTCTAGAAGTGTTTAAAGCAGATGATATTCCAATAGGTCAACTACCCACTTTACCCTACACTTTAGTTGTTTTAAGTCTTATAAACTGCAATCTTTCTGATGATGCTTTTCCAAGGGAATTTGATAGCATACCCGCATTGCAGAGATTGGATTTAAGTCAAAATCCGATTTGTAGCTTACCGCATTGCATCAGAGGCCTTACAGGACTCGATCAACTTGCGTTTGGCCAGTGTACGAGGCTCAAATCGCTTGTAGGGCTACCAAGAGTAAAAATGTTGATCGTAATCCGTTGTGACTCATTGGAAAAAGTAGCTTTTCAATCCATTTCTTGTATACCAGGGAGGTTTATCAGTGGCTTCACCTCGAAACTTGTTGAGATAGAGTATTGGTACAAGTTAGAACCCATTGGAAGAGTTGATGCAGAAATGAGAAACCTTTTGGGCTTGTGCAACTTGGAATCTATGGAAGCCATTAGGCTGTACACTCCAGATTGGCTCTCTTCAGCGGCTGGGACAATGCGTCCCATACAGGTGCCTCTCTCTCTCTCTCTCTCTCTCTCTCTCTCTCTCATACATACACACACACACACGAAATAATATGCAACTAATTACTTTTATAATATTTGGCATAATAGGGACTGCATGAATATGGTATATTCAGCACATTTCTTCCGGGAAGCCATGTTCCTGGCCAGTTCAGCAATAAAAGTAAAGGGTCCTCGATATCTTTTATTGTGCCTGTAATTCCTATTCTGAAGATTAGAGGCTTGAACATCTTCTCTGTCTATGAAAATTCCATCTTGACGAATCGGTTTTGTACGATAATGAGTCCAGTAATTGCCAAAGTCACTAATAAAAGCAAGGGTCTGAAGTGGATATATGCCCCAGCATGCTATGGTGTTCCAGATGGCGATAACGGCGTGATCTGGTTAAGCCATTGGAAGTTGGGGGATCATCAATTGGAAGGTGGGGATGAGGTGACTGTTTCAGTATTTACGCAACATTCGTTTCAGGTCACAGAATGCGGTGTCCAGCTTGTGCACGAGCAGGAAGACAAGGGTGCTCAGCACAACTCTGCAGATCCTTGTTATCCATTTGACATTGGTGGGAGCTTGCCAGAATTTATTCCAGGAACATACTTGATGTGGGGCGGACCCGTAAATGGAGATGGTAGGGATTATGTTTTCAGCTGGACAAAGGAAGATTGGTTTAAAGGCATCTTTGGAGACTCTAATGAAGAAACTGGTATAGAGAAAGAAGAAAGGAAGCTACAGGGTGATGAGTCGCTTGCACTTGCAGAAGCAACAGCAGTAAGATTAGTAGAAGCAGAGAGGGCAAGCAATAACAGCCGTCGCAGAGGCTGCAAGATTATCATTATATTGGCCGCTGTCTTCGTTCTTTTACTTTCTCTACTACTCTCTCCCTCTGAATGATTGTGATTGATTAGCCTTGGTGGTTTTTTAATTTATATTTTTGTTAATTTGGTGATTAATTGGCTGATAAGAGCTGTTCTTCCTTCATTTTTAATCTTTAAGGACACATTATCGATTGATTCTGTTTAACATTTATGCTCACTTCTTACCAATATTGGCAAATTTTTAATCCTAAACTTATGTAGATGTAAAAGGAACTTCTTATACAGTATAACTTGCAAATTGGTAACAAAAAAGCTAAGCAAAATCCCCGGACACGAGCTTGCTACTTGAGACCAGCCACTCAGAAAAATGTGAAAGGGCACGTACAAATACGATCTGTCCTCCCTCTGTTTTTCTGCTGATCCACCGACTGCTCGTATAAAAATTTCCTGATGATGAATTTCATGTACTCTTCCTAGCTAGAAGTGCTGGTCTTGGGCTGTCCCTTCCAGAGTATCCTCACTTACTAGTATGGACCAGTTGTGCGTTAGGAGTATCCTCGCTATAGAGTTCATGATGACAACCGAGCGGAGCGGTGATGTTTTATGTTGCATGTGAATTTAAGTCACACATTCATGCAAGAATTATCCTGATCAATAGTTCATATTCACAATTTAACAATATAAGCATCTTAAGAAAGAAAATATTTCCCGACAATTGAGAGCATAAATAGCAGGCAGCTGCATGTATAAATAAATTAGTATATGGTCCCCTTTGGGGTGCATTTGATTAACTTTTAACCTTCCAATTTGAAATCAAAGTACGCCTTTTACTTTGTGGTCAACAGCTGGTTAGCCACTTTGCACGTAGTCCCAACTCCCCTAATTTATTAATCCAATGGGACTTGGAAGAGTACTAGGATAATATTGTCATTGACTAAAATATGATCAATTGGGTTCGGACCATAGAAAACTATTAAGTGGAGTAACTGGACTTAATCCAAAGAATATATTTCGTATCAAATTTTAGTGCATAAAAAGTGATTGTGGAGAGAGCTTTAAGCTTTTCCTGACTCATGCCAAATGAGAATCTCCCCAACTTTATTTTGCTTGACCAAGAAAGTAAGGACATACATGAGCTGCTTGCTTCTATCAAATTATCATGATATCTCAGCTGAGAAACCAGCAACAAGTCATCTGATATTTCCCTAGATCATAGGCAAGTTTATTGCATCTTTGTTCATCCATGGCCCTTGTAAGATCTCAAGAAGCCTCCTCTTCTGATGCTAACTGTGGTTGTAGTTATCACGTGTTCTTGAGCTTCAGAGGTGAAGACACTCGCAGGACTTTTACTGACCACCTTTATACAGCCTTTGTCAATTCAGGGCTACAAACTTTCCGAGACGACGATGAACTTGAGAGAGGGGAAGGGATCAAGACAGAGCTGGAGAAAGCAATCCAACACTCACGAAGTTCTGTCATTGTGTTCTCGAAAAACTACGCGTCTTCCAAATGGTGCCTTGACGAACTAGTGAAGATCCTTGAACGCAAGAGGGCCTCTAATGAGCATGTAATTTTACCAGTCTTCTATGACATTGACCCATCTGAGGTGAGGAAACAGACAGGAAGCTTGGCAAAAGCATTTGCTAGACACCGACAGAACCGATCTTTGAACAAGGACAGGATAAGTGGATGGAGAGCAGCACTTACAGAAGTTGCAGATCTGGCAGGGATGGTCTTACAAAATGAAGCTGATGGGTAATCATTCTTTTCCCATTACAACTGGTAGATTTTATGTAGCCTCATTAATTAGATTCCTATCTGGCTATAGACTATAGTACTTCAACACATAACTTTCTCATGTTGTAATTATTGGAACATACTAGGAAATGTTATTATTCATTCACGACAATCACAATTTGACATGTATGCATAATTTTTCTTTTCACTTACATGGAAGAGCCAAACAGTATTCACAATTAGTTCCATATAACACAGACTTAATAGCTTAATTATTTGAAGTCATGGCATGCCATGTTTGATTCAATAATATTCATTTTGATTGCAATTTTCTAGGCACGAGGCAAAGTTTATTAAGAAAATTGTTAAAGTGATTGAAGGCAAGCTAAGTCGCACTCCCTTAAGTGTTTCCCCTTACCTGATTGGAATCGATCATCGAGTGAAAGACATTAATTCATGGTTGCAAGATGGATCCTCCGATGTTGGCATATGTGTAATTTATGGGATTGGGGGAATAGGGAAGACAACCATTGCGCAAGTTGTTTACAATTCAAATTTTTCAAGATTTGAAGGAAGAAGTTTCCTTGAAAATATAAGGGAAATTTCTGAACAACCCAATGGATTGGTTCAAGTACAAATGCAACTTCTTTCTGATATTCTGAATGGGAGAAAAGTAAAAATACACAATATTAGTGAGGGGATCACTAAGATTAAAGATGTCATAAGCTGTAAAAAAGTACTTCTTATTCTCGATGATGTGGATCATATGCGCCAATTAGATGCCATACTTAGAATGAAAGATTGGTTTTGCGCAGGAAGTAAAATCATTATAACAACTAGGTCTGTGGGGTTGCTAAAGGCTCATCAAGATGTTAAGGTGCATAACATTGAAACTTTAAATCATGTTGAATCACTGGAGCTCTTTAGTTGGCATGCTTTCAGACAGGACCATCCGATTGGAGGTTACGTGGAACTTTCAGAAAGCATAGTAAAGCACAGTGGAGGGCTTCCTTTAGCTCTTCAAACTTTGGGTTCTTCTCTATCAGGGCAAAGTATAGATGTATGGGGAAGTGCATTAAAGAAATTGGAAGTTATTCCAAATAGTGACATCATGAGTAAGCTCAGAATAAGCTACGACTCTTTACAAGATGACCATGACCAAAATCTGTTTCTCCATATCACATGTTTCTTTATTGGAAATGACATGGATGTTGTTGTCACAATACTAGATGGATGTGATTTCTTTACAATTGTTGGCATGCAAAATCTCATCGATAGATGTTTGGTAACAATTGATGAGTATAAAAAGGTGAAGATGCATCAAATGATTCGTGACATGGGAAGAGAAATTGTTCGCCTCGAATCAAAGCAGCCTGAGAAGCGTAGTAGATTATGGCATCATAATGATTCTCTAAGTGTATTGAGAGAAAAGAATGTAAGAAACATGCTTCTTTTATGTACATGTGTGCATTTTTGTTGGTTCATATCTAAGTGTTTTTTTTTTCCTGTTAGGGTTCGAAAAAAGTTGAAGGACTTGCCCTGAACATGCATATGTACCCTGTAGAAAATCGTTCAAGAAATTCGAATAAGGTGGTCTTGGAAACCATTGCATTTACAAGGATGGTGAAACTAGGATTACTACAGCTTAGTGCCGTACAACTCAATGGAGGTTATGAAGAATTTCCTAAAGGTTTGAGATGGTTATATTGGCTTGAATTTCCTTTAGATTCTATACCCTGTGATTTTCTTTTGGAGAGCTTGGTTGTTCTTGAAATGCACTACAGTAGCTTAAGAAAAATCTGGAAGGGAACAAAGGTATATATGCTACTCCTCCAAGCGTTTTTTTTTTTTTTTTTTTTTTCTAATTTAATTATTTTATTTATGGATTTTGATGATTATACATGTGTATGATTAAACTCCCTGTCTTCTTGCAGAGTCTTCCATCTTTAAAGATCCTTGATCTCAGCTATTCCCGTCACCTCATCGAAACTGGGGATTTCTCTTTGGTCACCAATCTAGAGAGGTTGATTCTTAATAAATGCAGGAGCTTGGTTGATGTCCATGAATCCATTGGAAACCTGGAGAAACTTGTTTACTTGAATATGAAAGATTGCGAAAATATTAGAAAGCTTCCAAAGAGCATTTCTATGCTAACATCACTTGAAACACTTATTATATCTGGTTGCTCAAGTCTTAATGAGTTCCCAATGGAGATGGGGAAAATGGAATCTTTAAAAGTGCTTCAAGCAGATGGGATTCCGATAGATCAATTACACACTTCCACTTTACCCTGCAATTTAGTTGTTTTAAGTCTAACAAACTGTAATCTCTCTGATGATGCTTTCCCAAAGGATTTTGGTAACTTATCCTCGTTGCAGAGCTTGGATTTAAGTCATAATCCAATTCGCAGCTTACCAGATTGCATCAGAGGCCTTACCGCGCTTGATCACCTTGCATTTTCGCAGTGTACAAGGCTCAAATCGCTTGTAGGGCTACCACGAATAACAGAACTTGTTACGATCCATTGTGAGTCGTTGGAAAGAGTTACATTTCAATCAATTTCGTGCCTACCGGAAAAGTTTATTTATGGTTACAACTTCAAGCTAGCTGAGATTGAGTACTGGTACAAGTTAGAACCCATTGGAATGGTGGATGTTGAAATGAGAAAGCTCTTGGGCTTGTGCAACTTGAATTCCATGGAAGCCATTAGGATGTACACCCCAGATAGGCTCTCTTCAGGAGATGGGACTATGCATCCCATCTCTCTCTCTCTCTCTCTCTCTCTCTCTCTCTCTCTCTCTCACAGACACACACACATAATATGTAAGAATTGAATTACTGATATCAACATTTGGTATATGTAAGAATTGAATTACTGATATCAACATTTGGTATAGGGACTGCATGAATATGGTATATTCAGCACATTTCTTCCTGGAGATGAGGTTCCAGGACAGTTCAGTGACAGAAGTGAAGGATCCTCAGTATCTTTTACTGTGCCTCCTTTACTTCCCAATATTCGGATTCGAGGCTTGAACATCTTCACTGTTTACACAGAGTGTTACAACGGTTATTCCTCCTCTAGCATACCTAATCCACTACTTATCAGAGTCTGTAATAAGACAAAGGGTCTGAAGTGGATCTATACACCATCATGCCATGGCGTTCCAGACAACGAAAAACAAGTGATGTGGTTAAGTCATTGGAAGTTGGGGAGTGGATTGGAAGGCGGCAATGAAGTTACTGTTTCAGTGTTTACGAAACCTTTGTTTCGTGTGAAAGAATGCGGCATCCAGCTTGTGCATGAGCAAGAAGACGAGATGAGTACCCAACACAACACTATAGTTCCTAGTTATGCATCTGCCATTGGTCGGGATTTGTCAGAATTTATTCCAGGAACATACTACCTAGGGGGTGGACCTTTTCTCAGACTAACTAGAGAAGATGTTTTGGGTTGGAAAAAGGAAGTTTGGTTCAATGACATCTCTGGAGACTCTGAAGAAGAAACAGGTATGGTGTTTAGCCAATCACTGAGTTCATATGGGCGTGATGCTATTCGTACTACCAGTTTGTCATCCTGCACTCTTTTTGTATGCAATGCCTTTAAACAAAACGATAAAATACTAACTTTAGAGTGAAAGATGATAATGTGGGAGTGGGAATATATAGCAGCTGCCTTTACTTTGTTGATAGTTAGACACTCCACGAAATGGAACACATGCAAATTCATCCTCATTCACTTTAAAGAATTTAATTCCTCTGATGTTCTATGTATGGTGTTTGTATGTTTTGTTTTCTAGACAAAGAAGAAATACAGCAGGGTGACAAGCCGCTTGCACTGGTAGCAGCAGCCGAAACATTAGTAGAAGCAGAGAGGGCAAGCAGAGGCAACAAGATTCTCATTATGACTGCAGTCTTCTTTCTCTTCCTTTCTCTAATCTCTTTGCCTTATCTCTCTTTCCTGTCAAAGTACTTTATCTGAATAGGCGATCAATCTTGGTGGGGGGTTTATTTGTTTGTATGTTTTTGTTAATTATCTGCTGATAAATTGGCTTATGAGAGTTTATCTGCCTTGATCATGCCCTTCTTGTCATACATTTCAATGAACAACCCAACTCAGTTTTGAAAACCACCCAATTTCAAGACAGAAAGCAGATTGCAACAACCCCATATCTCATGCAGGACAAAAATCAGACAGAGAAGAACTTATAAGCCCTTACAAGTTACAACCAGAAAAGAAAAAAAGAATGCATCACCAACTCACAATCACAATCACTCATGCAATTCGGACAACTGTTGCTAGCACAACTCTTTTGTGTTATGCCCTCAAATTACTCAACAACCCTATGATCCAAGACTTCCTTTCTATCAATCGAAATGTGAAAAGAAGTGTGGTTCTGTGAAGATTGAAGAATATTTGGTCAGCCTTATCTGCCACTTCATCACGTGCCATTCATTCCCCCCAACCCCATCACGCCCGCCATGTTTTAAGAAAAAGGAGAGAGAGATAGCATTGCATTTGCATTGGTAGTTGAAACTTGAAACCCCCTCCCACCGGCCCACCCCAAATCCATTTATTAAATTTTAATAATTTTGCCCGCTCACAGAAATAAAATAAATAAATACATTTATAAATTATACGCAAAAACAAAAAACTTTTTCATTTTTTATAAAATTAACCAAAAGTAAGTGGAAAATATTGACGATGTCCTTGCCCATCCAAATTTCACATTCATTGACCCATCGACTGAGACACTGACACGTACATGACACGTCAGCACACTTGATACTCATCAAGGTGAAGATAGAATTGCTGCTTCTGCTGGTGTTGCTCTTCGGGTTGCTGCTGCTCTGAAGCCTCTTTCTGGCGACGGAGCTCCAGAACCTTCCGGTGCGAGTTGGAGTGCTGAGTCAGCACGAACGTTGGGCTTGCCGCGGGTCGGTACTCGGGCACGAGCCGACCAGACTTGAATCGGACCCCACACGCGTTGCACAGCGTCTTGGGGCCCATTGGACCTGCCCGCCACTGCGGCGTCTTCTCCGAAGCGCAGTGCGCGCACCGGCGTGGCTTGGAGGGCGACGGAGAAGCTTCCGATGGCTCTCTCTTGGGCTTCGCCCGTGAGTCGCTGGGCTCGGGTGGGCCGCCCCATTTTGAGCGATTGGTGCGAACCCGGCTCGGAAACAAGGACGACGTGTCGTTTGGGAAGGAAGCGGAGCCGAAGACGTTGGTGGTGGGGAAGTCGGTGAAGGAGTCGTCCACGAAGCGCGACAACCACTCCAATTCCGCCACGTCATCACTCTAATTCAACCCAAAAAAATAAAAACCAAAAAATAAAAGAAACCCAAATTAGAATAGAATTAAAGAAAACAAAATGGGAAAATTGAAGTGAAAAAGAGAAAGGGAAAAGAAAATGTGGGCAATTACGGGTACACAGAGGTCGTTGGTGAAGTCGGTGGCGGCGGTGGGGTTGAAGGGGGTGGAGCTGACGTGGGGGTGCGGAGGTGGCGGTGGAGGGTGGAGGTCAATGGAGTCGGTGGAGGAAGTGGAGGAAGAGAAAAGGTCGTCGTTTGACAGGTCGAGAAGGTCGTCAATGGGAAAGTAGTCTTGCTGTTGGGCTAAGGAAGCAGATGCTCCTCCTCCGTACACGTCCTCCATTATTGTTCTTACCAATTTGCAGAGAGTCAGAGTAAAAAAGCTGAGTGATTTTAAAGAAATGGGTTTGCGGGTTCTCTCTGGCTCTCTCAGCTCTGTTCTTAGAGAGAGAGAGAGAGAGAGAGAGAGAAGAATGGGGGTTGATATATTGATGGAAGAGGGAGCAGAGGAACGTGCACAGCGCGAGAGAGAAATGAGTGTTTTAAATTTGGGGTTTTTTTCTTTTGTCTGAGCAGAGAGCACGGCAGTGCAGAGAGAGCAGCAGAAAGCACACTAGTGCCGCCCAGTACAACACACCAGCAGTGCTTCTACAACCCTCCAAACCCCAGCATGGATAAATAAAAGGGAGTTTCACTAAAACACCCAAAATGGAGGTTGAAATTATAAAAAAACTCAAGTACTATTTAAATATATAAACACACCCAAAACCCATCATTACATACACTCAAAACTCATTTATAAACACACCCAAAAAGTTGACTTTGGGGTTGTTTTTGGGTGTGTTTCTATGTTTAAATAGTGTTTTGGTTTTTTTATAAATACATGTCTAGAATTGGGTTTATTTATAAATATGGCTTTTGCTATTTTATTTATTTATTTATGGATGGTGGTGATGATGATGCTAATATGGAAACAGCCAAGTGTATGGTCGGTTTCACGCAATCATGAACACGTGGCTACTCATGCAATCCATATATAACACTACCCATTTACAGTTGTACACAGCAGTAAGGCTATAAGCTAGAGGGGTAACCTGAATCGCAGTGCAAGCTGTGCATTCATAATAGCGGACATTATACATTTTAATGTCTGTTGTTGGATGAGTTTAATTTTTTAGATTCGTGTAGCAGATAAGCGAAATCATATTTATTCAACGGTGATTAACTTTGTGGTAATGCTCGTCACCGATTAAAAGTGTTGAGTAGAAATACTATCTTTATAATAAGGTGAAAAATAATTGTTATTATGGATCGTCAACTTAAAACAAACCTTATCAAGGAATTGAGCTGTAAGCACAAAATGGATTGATGGAGATTGAGTCCATCAATTTATACTTGAAATAGTAACATTTGTTCCACAAGGAAGAAAGCTTCACAAGTTCCATATACAAATATAGGGCATTGACACCTTGTACTTGTACCAATCTGTTTCTCATAGTTTTCGCGCTCACTTGGTTCTCAAATAATCTGAAAATGATAAGGTGGGTGGTAGCTTAAAAACACAAGTAATTGGATAAACAAGAAGTTAATAAGGGTAAGTCAATTTATATATACCAGCTCAGATTGAAGATACATGGGAATTCCCTCAAGTCAAACTGGACACCTAGTTCGAAGCTTATTCCAGTCCCTAAGTAAATAATTGGTAAGCACCAAAAAAATAGAAAAAAAGAAGTTAATTATTGGATGTAATCCCGTGAGAGTATTTTTGTTCATCGTTTTAACTCAAAGTTATATTCAAGTTGAATAGCAAATAGGCCCATAGTTTCTCACATGCAATTACTTTTTTAAATAGATAGGTTATACGATGACTTATTATACAAGATGAAATTTGTCCTCAAGTGCTACTTTCGCAATGCTTGATATATATATATATATTTCTTTTTCTTTTTCTTTTTCTTTTTCTTTTTCAATGTACTATTTTAAGATAGAGGATTGGAGGCTAAGAAATACTAATTTAAGATGCATTTTCTGATGAGCCTGACCCCTGAGATGCCAAAATTAACAACTGCATAATAAATTTTGAACATCTTTTCTTTTTATATGCATATATAATAATAAAAAGATGTGTTTTGAAAATTGAATAGGTGTAGTGTAGAAGCCTAGAATGGCAAGAAATATATATATATGGTCATGCTAGAGATATCAACTTTAGATATAAACTTGTGTACCATATCTCTAATAGAGGTGGAGCCCACCAATACAATGGGTATCACGCTCTATTAGAGAGATGGTACACAAGTTAGTATCTAAAGTTAGTCTTCCTAGCATTTTCCATATATATATATATATATATATGTGAGGGTCGGGACAGAGGACATAAATGAAATGGACACCTCCGGGGTGGGGTGGTATTTAGAATGTGAAAGGAGGACTGGAAGGAAGAACTTGAATTTAAAGGAAGAGAAGAGAAGACATGAAGAAAATTAGATTGTTTTTAATATTTTAATTATCCCTCTCTGACGCCACCCCACTACCCCTTTATTTCTGGCATTACTTGACCATGGATATGGACATGCATGGCCACCACCGACAGCTATTCCCAGCTGTCAATATTGTTTCTTCTTATTTTATAAGGTAAACTTCTGAAAACTTTCCTGAACTATAACGCTTGTCGAAATGTCTATTATAAATTATTTTTTCAGACACTTTAACCATCATACTATTTTAAATGGTCAATTTAGCCCATATTGTTAGTTTTCATGTAATTTCATCCAATTTTCTATTAAAAATAATTAAATCTTTAAAAACTTAAAACAAAAAAAAAAAAACAAAAAATTTAAAAAAACTCTAACAATTAACGTCTTCCCCACCTCATCTCCCAAAAACTCAATTTAGCCCCTAACCTTTAAAACTCAAATCACCCAACCCAGCTGATGCTATCGCAGACCATCAAGCCATAATTTGTAAATTTCTAAACCCAAAACAGGAAGGAGAAGAAATCCCTAAACTCAAATTGGTGCCACATCTTAAGGGGAACGTAACTGGATTAGAAAAAATATATATATATATATATATCTATACTTAGCTATTGCTGGAAAGAGTAAACTGAAGAAGAAGGCATATGGATTTTATATCTTGATCCTGCCTTTTGGTTATCGGAGTAAAAAGAATCTCCTGTCAACAAATTGTATTGTGTCAGAATTCCCTTTCAAGCTTTCTCGAGTCCTTGGCTATGGAGGGGATCAACTTCTCTTGAGTTGTTGCAATGCCAAAATTGCAAATGAGGCAGCAAGTATTGGGTCAGCAGTAAGATGGGGTTATGCCGACCATTTTGCCTTCAAAAAAGCAAACAGCAACTAATAAAATTTAGCTGGTTTACTTTTCTTCTTCTTTTTTCTATTTTGAATTTTTTTGTTTTTTTTTGTTTTTACATTTTATTTTTATTTTTTCAATATTGTACTTTGTAAAATGACAAATTTACCCTTATAATTGACAGAAAATTGAATGGAAGTGTAGAAACTTGACGGTAGGTGTTAATTTGGTGATAAAATTTATTATAAGGGCTAAATTAGCTGAAAAAATAATTTATGATGGACATTTCAACAATCGTTATAGTTCATGAGAGTTTTCGACACTTTACCCTATTTTATACTAGCTTTTCATTATAAAAATATCTATGTAAATATTATTCTACGAGAGTCCTATATTTTAACAATAATCTACTTGATTAATTATCCAAACTCTAAAGAAATGAACATCACTTTTACACAATAATTTGTTTTCAAAGTTTATTAGTATTTACATAAACGAGTATTTGAAACACATATGTACGTGATATTTGTTAAATTTCAGAGAGATAAGTCAACGGCCCATTACTAACAATATCAATATTGTCCATAACTTAACCACTTATATAGCATAATAAGTATAAAGTTTTATCACAAAAGATATCGATGTTATTAATAATGAGATCACTTATTATATATTATAATTTATTTAATCAAGTATCCGATATTTTTTTTTAAAAAGATCTCTTGCATTAGTTAATGGAAGTCCCCAAAAAGGCGATTATTGCTACCATTTTTTTTTCTTAAGAAAACATCTACAATGTATTATAAATTGATGGATATCCAAATGCGATAGACAATGAACACTCCCCTATGTAAATATGTGGGATTTAATAAAAAGGATAGGCTTCATCAGCAAGCACGTGTTGGAAGCAGAAGGTGGCGGTGCTGGAGGCCCACCATTTTGATATTGGGGGGGTTGCATGGGAAAAACAAAAGATTTTGCACAAGAAAGAGTACCAAGCCGTACGATGCGCCACTTGTTATGAGGAAAGTACGTCCCCCTTTTTCCTTTTCCTTTTGTTTTGATTGATTCATAATCTGACGTGATTCTCTTGATACATCACATTACTTTCGAGAGGAAAGGCTTTTGAATATCCTCATGCAAAATGTTACATTACCTTAATTATTTTTTAGAGTGGCATCTAGTTTAAGAGAAGAATTTTGACACCGCAAGTTTGTAGGTGATTTCTGATCGTTGATTTACTTTGAATTACACATCCATTGTATCAATGTTTGATATTCGTTTTCTTTTTCTCGAAACAGACGTTAAATTTAGAGCTTTTTTTCTTATTCTTCTGCGTAATCTTCTTTTCTTTGTGCTCCCTCTTTACCTTTCCATATGAATTCCCTTGATAACATCATCAACCATGCTCTATAATATTGGTAGGAAATCAAATTAAGATATAGCAAAGCTTGTGGGACTTTTGGCCTTAGCGAGAGAGATGCCTCGAATCACGTGACATATATGACAGCAAAAATGGTGATCCCGATATTTAACGCATTTTCTTTTCTCAAAGTAACCCACCACAGTGCATGCATGTGCATGCTCATGTGCTCATTGATCCTGATTAATTAAAAAACAATTCAATTAATTATTTAATTAATGGCGTCAATTGATCCATCATCATATATTTCTGCCAATACCCCCGTATATATTCTCTGGACAAGTGATTCTGATTCTCTCAATTTTCAAATGGAATTAATTAATTAAGAAAATAACAATAATAACAATCAAGTTACCAAAAAAAAAAAAAACAGTATATTAATTTGGGCTATGTCGGTGGATATGGGCTGTGGGCCAGGCTCGCATCACTTCTTAATAAGTGAGATATCAGCTTTGGGCACGTGTTCTGCGTCCGTGATAGGAGACACTTCTCTGATCAGACGGCCCTTTTGCATGCAAAATTTGGACTTTGTTCTTCTTCTGTGTTTCGTTTCCATTGGTTGTAAGACTTCAATATATATATATATTTTTTGAAGTTATAAATTTCTGCAATGGGCTTAACAGGTTCAAAAAAATTCAATTCTCAGAAGAATCCTCAAACTCCAACATTTCTTTTTTGTGTGTATATAAATCTGTATATCAGTTGTTTTTTTCATTCGGATGTCTAGACGTTATTATCATGTGGACGGTATTGTAAACGGAGAGAAAAGAGGAACGGGTAGTAGAAAATATATGGTGTCAACACTATAACAACATCCTAACATACAGCATAAAAGAACAATCTAAAGAATAATAAGCATAATTTCCTCTTAACTTTGACATGTTATAGACTTGTATTGTGTCACTTGGTCAACATAATGTGTTCACTTCTTTGTATTTAAATTCGATTATCCTCATCTATACTTTCGGCTATCGTTTATATTAAAAAATAAGAACAAAAAACTTTGATATTGTGTTGGCTTGGCATCAATTGCTAAAAGTTTTTGTTAAAAAGATAACTAAATGAAGTTATGAAGGAGGTAATCTTGCCCAAAACCTCATAACAAATAAGAAGCTCTTAAATAGATTATCTGAATCTGTTTGATTAGACAATAAAAAATCATATTAATTCTTCTAATAGTCATGAAATGGCTGATAAATGAAAAAAGGGTCATGAAATGGGGGACGCCACGTGACTTGGTGAGTCCGTACAATAACTAGCGAGGCATTGCAGCATATGGCCATATAGAACTCACATGCCTTGGAGTTTATATTGTATTATAATACAAAAAAAGATCACAAATTCACAATCATGATCCTCTGTGATCACATGGATTTCAGAGTTTAGTTTGGGGTGAGTTCTTCCGTCTCTATCTGCTATGCTAAGGATAATATTTGTTATGAGAAAAGTAAACTCTTAACTAGTTTAAGAGAGAGAACACTCCTAGCCCCACCCAAAAAGGAGTGGTGGCTGCCATGAGTTTGGTCCCATCTTCCTCTTTCTTTACTTTTCTCTCAACATCCTCCCCTTCACATCCCCTTTGCTCCCCCTTTCAGCTTCATCTTCCTCTCTGTTTCGTTGTCTCGTTTATGACATAATTCCATAACATATTTATGAGGATCTATCCTTTTCAGTGTATGTGCTCGATTTGTCAAAGAGGAAAATCGATTGGTATAAATTTGTTATCTTTTAGTGCTTGCGGACAATGAGTTGGTTTTGTGACAACAAGGTTGCAATCCGATTAGTTTAGTTTCTTTATTTTTGGGATAAGTCGCACAAACTCTTTTCGGGTTTTCTCTTTTGTGAGAGTTTTTCACATCTCTTTTGTGAGAGTTTTTATTTGTATTCTTATGACTTGGTTTTTCCAAGCTTTATCTCTTTTTAATTGTTAAGAGTTTGCAATCTTAATTTAGATGCCTATGCCAGAGTTGAGTGATCATTAGTGGATGCACACCAGATTCTCTTAATGTTGAGTTTAGATTTCTCCGTAATTTTAATGACCTTTTGTGGCTAATGGCTTATTTAACTAAATTATGAATACAATCCCACAATTTCTCAACAAAAACAAAAACAAAAACTAGTTTAATAAAGACCATTAGATCTTCTATAGAAAAAAAGTACCATTAGATATGCGACTATTCTTTTTCTATATTTACTAATACAACTTGTAAGGAATTTGTCACTACACGCATCAAGTTTATTCACCGAGTTTTTGTTAGTCTACTAATTTGTAATTCAGTCATTTATATTCAAATTTCTAACAGATCATTTGGTGGATAAACCATGAGAAAAAAACTTGGTGCTTCTAGTATTACTACTCCTAGAGTAGATTGCTATACTATTATGCTCAAAATAATACAAATTTGTAAAGTCAGACTGATTTATGTTGTGCGTCTTTCTCTATTTGTAAGAAACAATGCCTATTCTCTTGTAGTCCAAGTGGGTGTCTTCAGTTGTGTTAAGTGCTTGAGTTGAAGAATTCTCGTTACTACATCACGATTCCTAAACTCATTTACGGATCGTATATATGAATTAAGTCAGTTGTCCAGTTGGCTATAGCAGTGATCCCGCCTCCTTACTCCCAAATTTGAGTCCTCCCGTAGATTAGATTGATTGTATTAACAAAACAAAATTTCTGGGCCGGCCTTGTCAGTATTAAACCATCAACTCCATTCAGACTGGACCATGGAAGATTTCGCAATCTATCTGGGCCGGACCATACAAAATTAAAAAGATTTTAGCTTTCCTTAGAGTTTGAAGCCCTTGTATAAATTCGTCATTTTTTAAATAAGAATTCCTAATTATCTCCAACCTTTCAAGTTTCAACCGCCAATTATCCAGTTGACAAAAACTACCAGTGCCAGCCATGAACTCGAAAGCTCAAAACTTCAACACCATTCCCTCTCTCACAAAAACCCCGAATTCAAATGGCCACGTGTCTCCCATTCGGCACCATCCCCTTCCCCCGCCCCGCTAAGATCACCTGCTCATCCACGACAGCCCAATCACAGCTCGCCAAGCAGCACCTCCTCAGCCTCATCTCCGATCAGGATCGAGGCCTCAAGACACAGAACAACCCCGCAAAGCTCACCTCAATCGTCAGCGCCATTGACGACTTGGCTGCTCTGGGAAAAGATAGTATCACCACCGGCGGGTCACTGTCGGCCACGTGGCGGCTGCTCTGGACCACGGAGAAGGAGCAGCTCTTCATCATCCAGAACGCTTCCTTGTTCGGCACGCGAACCGGCGACGTTTTGCAGGTCATCGATGTTGAGCAAAGGGTTCTCAACAATGTCATCACTTTTCCTCCAGATGGGGTCTTCTTCGTCCGCTCTGATATCGCCGTCGCTTCAAAGCAGAGAGTCAATTTTAAGTATGCATTGGTATTTCGTACTAGTATGAACCAAAAAATAATTTAAAAAATTGGAAATTTGGGAATTTTTCTTTTCTCTGTATTAATTTTTATGTTTTGGTGTTGCTTTGTAATTAGTGATGTTGGGTTGTGCTAGATTTACAAGTGCGGTTCTACGAGGGAAGAATTGGGAGATTCCATTGCCACCGTTTGGGCAGGGTTGGTGAGTTCTTTTGCTTTATTTTGTGATATTAACATGAAGGAAGTTGAGGTTCCACCCCAAAACCAATTGGCAATGGGGGAAGTAGCCTAACTCATTATAAGCCCTTGCAAGGTTTTCTAACTTTCCAATGTGGGACTTTTTACCTTCACATTCTCACACGCCCCCGCACGTGTGGCGAATTTTCAAGCCTAACACGTGGATAACACATTTTAGGTGACGTGGAGCACGTGTGGCCGTTGGGCTTTCACACGTGGGTAACCCGCTCTGATACCATGAAGGAAGTTGAGGTTCCACCCCAAAACCAATTGGCAATGGGGGAAGTAGCCCAACTCATTATAAGCCCTTGCAAGGTTTTCTAACTTTCCAATGTGGGACTTTTTACCTTCACATTCTCACATAACAAATACCCAAGTGATTGCTGGTTTTGTTTGTGTAGTTAGAAATGTTAAAATTCACTTACAGATAGATAATTTGCCTCTGTTTATCAATGCCTTTATAATTTCATCTTCAATGTCTCTGTTTATGTTAGCTATTAGCTTGTTTTCCTTGCTTTGTTCTGTTAAATTATATGAGAGTGGACTTATTATAAGTGCATTCTGGTATTTTTCTCCCCTTTTGAAACAAATGGGAAATAGCAATGACAGGCCATAGTCTATAGAGGTGGGATAACTTTCTGCCTTTCTATCCCTCACTTTCCATGATTTAAACCCAAGTACTCCTCAATAAAGGGGGAACATAATCACTTAGTTGCAAGTGCCAATGATTGGAAATCTTTAGGATTCTTCCTGCCAACAATAGGTTATTCTCATCACTGCTCACCTCCCGGTGAAATTTCTATTTATGAAAGCTGCACTCCCTTTAAATTTTGTGACAATGTCTGAACTGAATTCTCACAAGTTTCTTGGTTTGCTTGGAATGAGCCCTCTTTAATTTTCTCTATTTTTAATTATTTTGAGGTGCAGCATAGAACTGTTTTGAAAAGAGAGGCTTACTTTGTAATTTGGGATTTAACTACTAAAGGAGCATGCTTGTCCATCTCGTTTATTATGTAGGAAGTGAGCTTGCTTATTATCTGAGCGTGCCATGTGCTTGAAACCAGCCTCAAATATCAGATGAATATAAACTAACTTGAGCCCTGCCCTATTTGTTTCAGGCCTATTCCTTGATATCAAAATCAAATGTTGGCTTGTAGAAGCAATTTTAAATACTATTTGTTAAGGATTATCAATAATTTCTTTAGGTCGTTGGATTAAGTAGCATGACTAATTTTGGAATTCAGCTTATTGTCCGGCAGAG